TTTTTTTTTTTAAAGATTTTATTTATTTATTTGACAGAGAGAGACACAGCGAGAGAGGGAACACAAGCAGAGGGAGTGGGAGAGGGAGAAGCAGGATTCCAGCAGAGCAGGGAGCCTGATGCGGGGCTCGATCCCAGGACTCTGGGATCGTGACCTGAGCCAAAGGCAGATGCTTAATGACTGAGCCACCCAGGCACCCCTCGATTACTGTAGCTTTCTAATGTTGTTTGAAATTAGGAAGGGTGATGCTTCCTGCTTTGTTGTTCTTTCTCAAGATTGCCTTGGCTATTCAGGGTTTTTTATGGTCATACAAACTTTAGGATTATTTGTTCTACTGTGAAAAGTATCACTGGAATTTTGATAGGGATTGTATTGGATCTGCTTTGGTTAGTATGGACATTTTAACAAGATAAATCCTTCCAATTCATGAGCACAGATTATCTTTCCATTTATTTGTGTCTTCAATTTCTTTCATCAGTGTCTTACAGTTTTCTGTGTACAGATCTTTTACCTCTTTGGTTAAATTTATTCCTAGGTATTTTATCCTTTTTGATGCAGTTGTAAATGGGATTATCTCCTTAATTTCTCTGATAGTTCATTATTAGTGTATAGAAGTGCAACTGATTTTGTGTATTGATTATGTAACCTGAAACTTTACTGAATTTATTTATTATTTCTAACAGTTTTTTGGTGGACTGTTCAGGATGTTATATATATAGTATTATGTTATCTGCAAATGAAGGTAATTTTAATTGTTCCTTTCTGTTTTGGATGCCTTTTTTTTTTTTTCTTGCCTGATTGCTCTAACTAGGACTTCCAGTATTATGTTGAATAAAAGTGGTGAGAGTAGACATCCTTGTGTTGTTTCTGATCTTAAAGGAAAAACTTTCAGCATTTTACTCTTGAGTATGATGTTAGCTATAGGCTGAACATATATGGTTTTTGTTCTGTCAAGGTATGTTCCCTCTATCTCTTTTGTTGCAAGTTTTAATCATGAATGGATGTTGAATTTTGTCAAATGGCTTTTCTGCATTTTTGAGATGATCATATGATTTTTATCCTTCAGTGTTGAACCATCTTTATAATCCTAGAATAAATCCCACTTGATCATGGTATATAATCCTTTTAATGTATTGTTAAATACAGTTTGCTAATATTTTCAAGGATTTTTGAATCTGTGTTCATTAAGGATATTGTCCTATAATTTATTTTCTTGTAGTGTCCTTTTCTGGTTTTCTTATCAGGGTGATGCTGGCTTCATAAAATGGGTTTGGAAGTGTTCCTTTCTCCTCTGTTTTCTAGAAGTGTTTGATAAGGATTGATAGTAATTCTTTTTTAAATGTTTGGTAGTTTGATAGAATGCACCAGTGAAGCCATTGGTTCTGGACTTTTGCTTGTTGGGAAGTTTTTCTTTACCAGTAACTGGTGTATTAATATTTTCAATTTTATGTTCTCGGAACATAATTCCGAGATTGTATGTTCTTGGAATTTTACTAATTTCTTCTAGGTCATTCAGTTTATTGGTTTATTGTTCTTAGTAGTCTCTTATGATCTGTTTTTCTTTTATCAGTTATAACATCTCTTTCATTTCTGATTTTGAGTCCTCTTTTTTCCCTTTTGATAGCTAACAGTTTGTCAATTTTTTTTATATTTTCAAACAACCAGCTCTTAGTTTCATTAATTTTTTCCTGTGTCTTTTTAGTTTCTGTTTCATTTATTTCCACTCTGATCTTTGTTATTTACATTCTTCTCTAACTGTAGGTTCAGTTTATTAGTTTCTTGAGGTATTAAGTTAGGTTGTTTGAGATATTTCTTGTTTCTTAATATAGGTGCTTATCAACACAAACTTCCCATTTAGAACTGTTTTTGCTGCATGCCAGAGTTTAGGTATTTTGTATTTCCATTTTTATTTGTGTCAAGATACTGAAAAATACTTTTTGATTATTTTTTTCAGCCATTGATTGTTTAGGAGCATGTTGTTTAATTTCCATATATTTATCAATTTTCCAGTTTCCTTCTTGTAATTTTTATTTTCATAACATTATGATTTC